TTGTTTTTTTGAATAACTTTTGATAGGAACAAGATGGAGACCTGCGGTTCCCATCGACTGCAAGCCAAGATCCAGGACCGTATTTTCACAGGCAACATCATTCCTAAAAACAAATCTCAAAACCTGTTTTTCAAAGGATTTCTGAAAAACCACGCTGGATTTCTGAAAACTGCCATAGGAGTCTATTGACTTTTTTACATGGGTAGATAGCTCAGAGTACCCCCTACAAAACTAGATCAAACAAAAGTTCTATCTTGCAAGGTTTGAACAAACCAGGCAGTTTTTCCGAAGCCCTAAAACTCTCCTTTCTTAAGGTGTAGCACTATTGTAAACACATGAAAACATAGGTTATCGACTATGCTCAATCTCGTGGCACTGTTAGTTTTCAGAACAAAATGCAAGAACCGAGTGAAAACCTATACTAGGTGATATAACCCAGTTTTGATTATTTTCATCAAAATTTAAAAAATTCATAACTGAGTCATAAATTATCCAAACTGCTTCAGAATTTCAGGAAACACTCTATTTTATTCACTAATTCTGATTTTTTACGTAGAATCAATAAAAAAGTATTGTCTTAGTTCCGAAGGTTTCTGGGAAACCTTTCTAGAAATCAAAGTATTTTCTGTTGGTTTTTCCAACATTTATTGAGCATTACTGAGAACTTATTGAATTGCAGATAAAATAGAGTGGTCCAGCAGAACACTGAAGCGTTGAAGTTTTTCAGGAGGTTTCTGAAACACCTTAACCCAATGCCAAGCTGAAATTTACTTTTTTCGGCTTCCATTATGATTTATAAGCTGTTCTAAGCGTTTCCTGAAAATTTCGTTGAGTCAACATGAGATTTAAGAATTTTAATTTTTGCTGGTAACAGGGTTTTCACAAAAATGCCTCTCGCAAAGTTATTTTTATTTCTACTCAAAAACAAATATTGCCACTATCCTCAGTGTAGTCGATTACCTATACTCTATGACATTCTGAGATTCCCAGAGGTGTCTGCTCGGACACAGGCACGCGCTCGGGGAAAGCGAGCTTTGTTCGGACGACGAAAGCTGAAGAGTTGGGACTTGCATAATTTTGTAGAGTAACGTCCGGACTACCTACGCATGCAAAAAAGTTACTAACTTTGTATGTTAATTTTCTGAGAATGGAGCTGGTTGTCGAAAGATCCTCTGAAAAAACGATCTTCTAAGCCTTTTCAAAAGTGCTGTTAGCTTATAAAAAGTTGATTTTAAGTGTTTACTTTCGATTACTGAAAACCGCAGGTCGCTATCTATGAAGATGACGGAGATATTCAAGAAATAAGCACTAATCTTGTATTGTGGACCCGAAAATAGTATGAGTATCAGAGCTACTTCGGATATGTTGTACTCATAATTTTGTGCTCTTGCACTTGTTTGTTGGAGTAGTGTTATGGTATGTATCTACTTCATTGCAGAAAATCACTTTTTGTCATTTTTATGTTCGTTTAAGCATCTTTTTTTTAAAATTAAAGGTTTGTTTTAAGTACAAAATAGAGAGAGAGAAAACAAATAATTAGAACAGGGTTGGGTAAGAGCTCCCTTACACACGAACCTCCCTAGTGCTGGATAACCGCCAAACTAGGAAGTGTGGGGTTCTGGTACTTGCCGTTCTCAACATGACAAGAACCCAAGAACCTAGGAACTTACATATAAAATATTGTAGGTGGAAAAGGTTTTGGTATCTAAATGTTCGTACGAACCTAAAGCTCTAGTGAGAACCTAGAAGTTTAGATTCGTTTTCAACTTGACCAGCTTTAGTAAATTGTAAGAAAGCGCTAGAAATCCAATTTAAACTGATGGCATTCAATCATTCTTCAATTTCAACAACATATAGTAACATCGGTTTACTCTATCAGAATAAATGTGATTATGATAAAGTTTTAGAAAACTGTGAAAAGGCCCTAGAAATTGATCTTAAATATTTGTCACCTAGCCATCTATTACTTGCTCCAATTTATCATATTATCGGCGTATGTTACTTAGCCAAACATAATTATGAGATGGCATTAAGATATTATGAAAAGTCGATTGAAATATTATCGCCCACTCATCCACGATACTTAGATATTCAACGTGAATTGAAAGTTGTTAAAAGTCTTCTGAAAAACATCTAACAGCCTTATGAAAAGTATCCTCAGAATATTAGAGTTGTAAAACATTACGAACTATCTTTAGAATGCTGAAAAAAATGTGTCAAATGATTAATTCTAGAACTTATACTATTATTATTATGTCAAAACTCATTCTTTTGTGTTTTACTATTTTTTTCAAAACAATAAACTACAATTCCTCTAATATTTTAATAATTGTCCTATATGGATATATTTTCGCAACGCTTATGTATAGCTTATTTTATTGCGAGGAGGATTCTCTATCTTCCGGTATATGAGTTCTGGTCAAATGATTCTAAAGTGTTGGGAAGTATCATTTTCGTCAGAATAATACTAGGCCATTTTCTTACAGAAACCATTTCCCGTTCTTTGGTGACTAAAACTATTGTATGCATTGATTTGGAATAAATAGTATTTTAATCTTCAAATTTTATTTTCATTTTGTGAAGAATAAGACTGAAGATGGAATCACTTAGCGATCAGCTCGGTTTTATAAATACGAAACTAAACTTTGGTAAGGTTTGTCGGGACGACAGACATCATTTTCACTCTTTAACCCTAGTGATATTCCAGTTCCATTCTGATCGCGAACCCGATTTTTTCCCGTGTAACGAAAAAATGTTGATCTTGACAAAATAAAATCGCGATCTTATAATTGGAATCGCGTTCTCGATCATGTCCGTTATGCGATCCCGTTTCATTTGATTCAAGACAGTGACGGGATCGCGGCAAGATTACAGCAAGATCGCGTCTAATTCGAGACAAGATCTTGAGGAAATTTTTCCTTTGCCCACCGTTGAGGAAAGTTTTTTATTATTATATCATTCTGTTCCTTAAAATATCAAAGGTAAGTATAAAATCAATCCTTGCACGAAACTAGGATCACACTGACTTCGTATTTTCCTTTATCTCAGTCTGTAACGATGTAATATTTTTTTATCTCGTCCATCCGTCGATAGAAGAAGAAAAACAGACAGACAGTGTGCGTATATTATCGTCCATTGTGTTTATTCTTTGTTCTCTTTTAACATATGTAACAGATAGATATACAATACACGTCAATTATAGTCATTTCTTAACTTTTTAACGCAATGCAACGACTGTTTTTTGGGTTTTGTTGTAGTTAATGAAAATAGAGTAACTGTTTGACTAATGTCATCAGTAAGTACACAGCAATTTTCGAGAGAGAAGAGCATTCGGAGAGGAAAATTCATTTTTTTGTCTCAAAGTTGAACTATTTTCTTCTTGACAGTTTTAGAATCGAAAGAGAATATTTTTTCTCGGACAACGCATCAAATCTAAAGTCTTCTCCGGTGTGTAGGTTCAGTTAAATATATTGACTGCAGAGATCTCAGAATGAAAAGTCACAACAGTGAAAGAAATGCACAAGGTTGAAGTATCACAAATTGTGTGTTTCCTCGGTGTAAGATCGCTTTGCCATTTGAGTGTTTCAGAATGTAGCAACGATCATTTGGATCCTGTTTGATGCACAGAGGATAGCGGCACAGCCAGACCACCTCAATCACAGGACGCTAGATTGGCTCTAGCAACGAACTGATCCGAGTGTCAAATATTCTACAGATACACATTCACTGAAAGTTCAAGCGTGAATGTTTTCTTCACATACGGCAAACGTTACCTTATTGGCGCAACTCACAGATGAAACACAAAGACAGTCCCTCTCACTTCTATTCTGAGATCCAATGGACGTAACGTTTCGCATCAGAACTGAAAAATACACCGATGAAGAAGCTAAAGATACATCTGAGATGAAACTTCTCCTCGGCAAAAACAATATAACACTTTAGATGAGCAAATTAATAATAGTTCAACTTTGTAACATTGAAATGAAATGGAGCTTATAACTCAAAACAAAAAAAATAACTTGCTGTATACACTATCGAAGGTTTTCATCGAGCGATCATATTGATTTTCTTTAGCTTTTCACGCTTACTCTCTCATTTAAGGATGATCGTCAGTTGGACAAGACATCGTCTTGGCCATGGTATTTCTTTAACAATTTTCATATGAAAAGAAATATTAAAATTATTGATAAAGTCATACAAATCTGTAAAAGTAAATTATTGTTGAATTTCAAGGTTGGCATATTCGGAACACTTCCTCTGATGATCAATCCATAACATGTATCTATAAAAGAAAAAAGAAAACAGCTTTAAAGGATAACTAACTTTCATCTGCTAGTCATGTGGCTCTATACTGACTTACAGTCTAATATATCTACGTCCACTACATATATACTCTTGTATGTATATAAAACAAAGCTCGGATTGCCTTGACGCTTGCAACCTTCCTTTTTGTGTTTATTTATTTTGAATCCGTTTTTCTTATTAAATCAAGTGTAGCTAGCATAATGACCCACATATATCCGGTTTCGAAATATCCACATGCTTTTCTTCTGTCGACCTTTGCAGCAGTGCTCTCGATGAGTGAGATTTTCGCGTAACAGTACATAAACGCTAACAAATATGTATTCAAAGTTAAAAACGTCTCTAGACAGCATGATAAGACAATATGGCTGACAAAAATTTCATGCCGCGTGATGATGATCAGATCCAATACCAGCGAAAATGTCGACACTGTAACTTTCATTTGCCAGCGAGAGCTGTTAGACTAGCTTCCTTATTTGAAGTCTTCTGTCAATAGTTGGACCCCCTCTTAGATAGTCTATAAGCCATCTGACAGCTTCATCAAGTATAAAACACTATTGTCATGAGTGCACAATACACTTATGTTGCTAGTTTGCTGCGGACGGACTGATATTTGAATAGAGAGATACTAGAGTAATACTCTACATACTTTTTGCGTAGAGGCAAGCATCAAGCTATACGAAAATAATTGAACTTTCTCACCCCATGGTTAACAATGGTAGAATACCAACGCCAGCGATGACGACGAAGACGAAACCTGGATCAGTATGAATAGTGGCATTGTAGATTGCATTGCACATGGCACTTAGTGCATAGGATCCAGCTGATTCGAATATACCAGCAAACACGAAGACAACAGCATATTCATTTGGTTCAACAACTTTTGTTATCCGAGATCGGAGTACACCACATGTAACACGAAACACTGCACCAATGCAAACAGCTGCAAAGAAAAAAAGAGTTAACTTCAACTGTTTTATGGAGAATAAACTTTCTTCCTTTACACCTAAGTATAAAAGCCATGTTGATCGTGCAATACCAAATAACACTAGTTGAATCATAAATGTAATTACTCCAGTCATGGGTATTAAAAAACTATCTGATGTAATTGTTAATGTGAAAACAATCGTTAGCAAAAGAACTAGAATCGCTTGTGCGGATGAATTTAGACTCACTTCCCATGTGTGCGATTCAGTTTTTACATAATCATTAAGTGGGCTAAAAACAGACCGTTACTTTCTTTGATCTTCATACACTCAGACCCACTCCATTATTCTCTACAATAAATTTGGAATATTATACGATCCCCAACAAAATGGTTGCCCGTACAAATACAAATATGTAACAGAAAAACTACCATAAATCATTACAATTATTGACAAATGTGTGAATACTGTAAGTAATAGAATTTTACGTTTATTTGATTTTCGTTCAATTGTGAACACTTGTAAAACCTTAAATATCGGTGTCAAACGTATCAATTTTAATTGTTGGAAAATATTTAAATGATCTACTGTTTGATTTGATTCTCGTTGAAATAGCAGAGAATATACAAGACCTAATGTACTTAAACCGAGCGTAACACAAGATGGTATCAAATAGCCGTAGTATTTTAAATAATATCCAAGTCCAACTAAAGCGACAACACGCGCCATTGTAATACTAACATCGGTAATAATAATTGCCGATGTTCGTTGTTTTAACGTAGTACAATCGGTGACAAAAGCAAATGCACTCAAAATGGTTAGAGCTGATGTGCCAAAGATACCGTCGAGAATAACAGAAATAATAATAAATATATTGGATAAATTCCATATGTTCACCGCCGTCATTATTACATATCTTAACAGTTTTCCAATGAAGGGAAGAGTTATTAATACCCTTCGACCGATAGTATCACAATTTGATCCAAGTATTATCGAACTGAATATAGTTGGAACTGTAGCAGAAAGAGAAATTACAATATTTAATTTTGCTGTTGCTGACTGAGCTTGATCAGATGCGGCTGGAGATACGGTCGTTGTTAAATAATATTGTGATGGAATATCACTGATATGACTACTATTTAAACACATACTTCTTTGTATAGATTTTGTCGTCGTATTTGATTTGTAAAACATTGCATAACGAGTTTCAATTAAATCATTTAACAATAAACTATCAATCGCACTAATCATCATCACAATAATCAGAGGTGGTAATACTAGCCACCAAATTTGTTTTTTATTACTTTCGGTCATTATTTGAAGTTGTCTTCTTCAGATACAAAAAGTTTGAAGGCTGTAATTTATTTTTATTACCTTCTATTGTTTCATCTTGACCATGAGTTAGTTATTAAACAACTCTGACATAGTATTTACATACTTTGCAGGAAAACAACCTTTTATCTTTCCTGTTTCGTTTAAAATAAAAACAACGTTATTATTAGATTTTTGTTGTGTTATATTCAGCATTTCAATGCTTATTTATAATGATACTTGTTTTCTTCCAGCATTGCTTTAGTTCTCACGAGGGAACGATTTCGTTCGTTCATACGTCATTTGATAGAGCGTTGGGAGCAGGTAAAAAGCCTAAATGGATATGGGCACATGGCTCTCTCTTCAAAAGTTACAGCGATGTTTTTAGTTTCCCCAGCGAAAACTAGCAAAAATAGAAAAATGCAGAACTCCGCCTAGAAAGGTCGTAGCAAGCTGAAATGTTTTTTGTTGGTCACTCTAGAGGTCTATTAGATACCCTGAAAATCCCACCTTTCATCGTTCTTCCTTTACGAGTTCCACAAACTTTTCGGCGTACGGTAAAAACGAATTAACTAACGAGTTTGTGACCGTTAGAATTTTCATAACTCAGGAAGGAAGAGAGACGGAAAGCTTAAATTTTCAGGGTATCTAGTAGACCTCTAGAGTGACCATTAAAAAACATTTCAGCTTGCTACGACCTTTCTAGGCGGAATTCTGCATTTTTCTAGTTTTGCTAGTTTTCGCAGGGAAAACTAAAAAACTGGCTGTAACTTTTGAGGAGAGAGCCATGGGCCCATATCTATTTAGGCTTTTTACCTGCTCCCAACCCTCTATCGAATGACGTATGAACAAGCGAAATCAGAAGAGTTCACTGAAAAACGTTTCCTCGTCAGGAAAAGAAACTCTTTCTCTGATACACACAATAAAGTACTTTCAGAAAAAACACATGAATTAATAGCGGTTTAGATTTTTGTGTTTCATTCATTTGATTAACAGACTGCAATAACTTCACTATTATCAAACTGTTTTGAATCACGGATACCTCGATTTTCCATCACTTTTTCAGTATATTCGAAGAGGATACATCGTACAATATTTCCAGCAGAGCTGGAAGTTCTGAGACAGTGGTTTATCAGTAGCTGATCTACACCGTTGAAACTGTAGCTGATCGACGTAAACTTTCATTACTGATAGACCACACTCTATCTCAGAAGTTATAGCTCTGCTGGAAATATTGTATATTGTATTCTCTTCGAACATATGGAAAAAGTGATGGAAAATCGACGACCTATAATTCAAAATTGCTTACCAATTCGATATTTTCCCAATGTGACTTTCAACATTTCATCTTAGAGATTGTGAATTTGTATTTTTTTCCAGTGTTTAATGGCTAAATTATACGTTCTCTATCATTTATAAATAAAAATCAGGTACCTACCTCAGATGATTCAAAACAGTTTGATAATACACACAAATCCAAACCGCTATTAATTCATGTGTTTTTTTCTGAAAGTATTTTATTGTGTGCATCAGAAAGAGAGTTTCTTTTCTTGAGAACTAAAGCAATGCTGGAAGAAAACAAGTATCATTATAAATAAGCATTGAAATGCTAAATATAACACGACAAAAATCTAATAATAACGTTGTTTTTATTAAACAAAAGATAAAAAATTGCTTTCTTGCAAAGTATGTAAATACTATATCAAAGTTGTTTAATAACTCATGGTCAAGATGAAACACTAGACGGTAATAAAAATAAAATACAGCCTTCATCTCAAGGAGACAGACTGAGATAATGACCGAAAGTACTAGAAAACAAATTTGGATTTATTCAAGTTTGAAGATGAATTGAAATAATAGAGAAGAGTATAAGATCTAAGCTCGAGTCTTGAGGCATTCATATGCTCATTTATTGTTTTTGTTTATTCTACATTTAGTGACTTTGCTTATGTACCCAGCCTTCTTGTTTAGAATCGTAAAATAACGCTTATCGCCTTTGCAGAAATCTATTATGACACGAATTATCCAATCTTGGCAAAGCTTTTAGCAGATGTTAGCCCAGCTTAGATTGCATTACAGTAAAACAGAGTTATCCTTAGTCAAAGAATAGGTACTGTTTCCATTTTTCTTTTCTATTTAAAGTACTAAGAAAACAAGATCGGGTTCATCTCAAAGTATACGAAAGTTGACACTATGACACAACAAAACTGCATTTTGACCGCTTTCGTGATTTCGGTAAAATACAAAGCTTTCAGAAAATTAGCTAAATTTTCAGATTTTTTCGGAAACCTTGTTTTTTGAATAAACAGTGAGTTTTTAATATTAGTTCAAAAGAACTTGAATCTAGTTTAAGTGTTTGTCTCAATTATACATAGAACAGTTTTTCAACCAGCGTCATCATAATCATTATTTCATCGAAAGAAGGATGCACCCACCAAAACATTAAATGTACGTGAGAAGGTCTTTTGTAGATGGCATGGAGAGGTAGAAATTAAGTTTTGAAATAGAGAAAAGAAAAGAAAAGAAGTAAAATTTGAACCTTGAGAGTCGAAATAGCACATCAAAGAAATCCAATGGTCACACATATAAGATTTGACTCAATATCCACGAAAAATGGTTGCATATCATGTTGGTAATGTTTAATGTAATTGGCAAGCAACGGGAGCAGAACTGTAGTCCAAAGAAATGAGTTTTGTTTAAACGAAACAGCAGTTTTCTCTGTTGCCAAGTAGTCAGTATGAAACTGTGCTGAAAAAGAAACAAGAATCATTATAAATAAGCATTGAAATGCTGAATATAACACAACAAAAATCTAATAATAACGTTGTTTTTATTTTAAACGAAACAGGAAAGATAAAAGGTTGTTTTCCTGCAAAGTATGTAAATACTATGTCAGAGTTGTTTAATAACTAACTCATGGTCAAGATGAAACAATAGAAGGTAATAAAAATAAATTACAGCCTTCAAACTTTTTGTATCTGAAGAAGACAACTTCAAATAATGACCGAAAGTAATAAAAAACAAATTTGGTGGCTAGTATTACCACCTCTGATTATTGTGATGATGATTAGTGCGATTGATAGTTTATTGTTAAATGATTTAATTGAAACTCGTTATGCAATGTTTTACAAATCAAATACGACGACAAAATCTGTACAAAGAAGTATGTGTTTAAATAGTAGTCATATCAGTGATATTCCAACACAACATTATTTAACAACGATCGTATCACAGTAACAACGACAAATATACTGTTAACCGTATCTCCAGCCACATCTGATCAAGCTTAGTGAGCAACAGTAAAATTAAATGTTAATGTTTTCTTATCCTTATGTTTTCCTGAAGGCCGCGTCTAAAGATCCATTATGAACTTTTAGTTGAATTCATTTTGACAGCTTCAGTTTGTAGACCACGACAATTTACATATGTGAAAAAATTTGAAAATACAAGAAGCACAAATTGTTGATTCTAAACATCAAGATCTTTTCTACTTGTTAGATAACGACTATGCGCGGACATCATGTTGGAATGTATAAGAGAATTATATGATAATATTGTTACATGGTGGCTACCCTCTTATCGATATTCTGAATACCTTGTAAACATCATACATTCAATGTCGACCAATAAACTGTTATTAGAAAATACCTTTTGTTCGATTTTCGGAGAATCCATGAGCATAAAATGGTTAAAATAATTCCCTTGACTGAAAGGCGGATCATATAAAGAAAGGTGAAACTTTACCGTAGAAAACAAGCTGTTTTACTTTCTTCCAACCGTTTTTGCTGAACTGTCCAGAATTACCCCCATTCCATTTAGGGTAATTCTGCACATTCCATTGCAGCTCTCTGGAAACTGATGGGTACTAATTAATCTTATTGAACTCTAACTAGATTGTTAAATCAGTAGGTAGAGAAATGTCCGATCTAGCCATCTGTGAAGTGTCCTTTTTTCCTGACTAAAAAGCGTTAGGCGCGTTCAAACTACTGTGAAAATCAAAAAGACTGTCCTGATTTACCCCAACTTATTCGATATTCAGAAAACGCATCTATTTCAATATGTTTTTGTCGTTTAATCTAACAAATTAATTTTCTAAGAGTTATTCTCAGACCTGGTGCTTCAGACATTAAAGTAGTCTACTACTCGTGGTCTACTACAGCGTATTACTACTGGCAATGTCGATTATCAGAAGGCGTCACAAGATTGAAAGGCGAGACAGCAGATTGATTATTTAATATTTTCCACAGGAACTGAACGCGTGCTAATACACGTTGAGGGGCTTCAAAAACAGAGGTATGTCAACTTAATCTTCTCGACGATCGAAAATTGTCCTTTCCTGCCTCTCTACTTATACGAACTGTAAACAAATGAATTTTTTGCACTTGTTAGTAACACCATTTCATTATTCAATATATATATTCAATAGCATGCCTCCCGACAAAAAGCTAAAAATGTAAGCTTCTCGTTATGACTATCTCATCATTGTTGTCTTTCTATGTCTATTTATACATCTTCAATACATAATCCATACGTATGTACCATTTCTACTATCTTCTCGAAAAAGGTGTAACGTTTACTGTTCACTACCTGTTCTCTTTGTTACAATCTCTTATCTTTGTTTTGATAATAAAATTAGTAAAGTAAACTACACAAGTTTGAGGTAGCTAGCTATCAAGGTTTAGAGGAAGATTCGTGTTGTTGAACCTACTTATCTTCGTTATTTTCAAGTTGGAAATGTTTAAAATAAATGGAAACATAGGTGGTAATCGACTATGTTGAGGCTCGTGGCAACATTAGTTTTCAGAACAAAATGCAAAAACCTAATGAAAACCTATACTGAGTAGAATAACCCATGTTTGAATATTTACATCAAAAATCGAAAAATTCATAACTCCATCAAAACCGATCTAGACTACTTAAGAATATCAGAATATATTCTGTTTTATCGGCTCAATATGATTCTGTACTTAAGAGTAGTAAAAAGTACTTTTTTATTTTGGAAGATTTCTAGAACACTTCTTCAAAAGGCCAAGTATTTTCTATTAATTTTTACATCGTTTACTAAACTCTATGGTACAGGCCAGATAAATTAGTGTATAATCTGGTATTCTTAAGTAGTCTATATTGTTTTTGATGAAGTTATGAATTTTCTAATTTTACATAAAAATTACGCAAAATGGAATGTTTCACCTAATATAGCGTTTCACTAGGTTTTTGGACCTTTTCGAAAAACAAAAGTTGTCATAAGACTCAGTGTGATAGATAACCTACTATGTTTCCATTTGTCTTCGAAACCACCTCACCTGAAAAGTGTCGATTATGAAACTCTAAGGAAATCCGATGCGGCGAAGTAATGTCGGAAAATAAGAGATCGTTTAGTTTCCGTTTTGACGAGGACACTTTAGGCTACCTACTCATAGAAAAAGACTTGTACGTTGCTATATAAAAATTTCGGCTTATAAAATGGTCCTCCAGAGGCTCGTTGGAAACTCATATTTAAAAATAATTTGAAATATTTATTGCTTATGAAACGATGCTTTAAAGTCTTGGCTATTGAATGACGAAAACCGTAACCTCTACCATTCCGTTTTCCTCAGAATCAATACGTTTTCTCTACTTGAGAACAAGCCATGGAGCGCTTTTTCGCCCATGCTGACGGGCGCCATTGCTCAACTATAAATTCAAGTTCTTGAACTTTGTGAAATAAAACAAGAACTATGTTGGTACATGATCATAATGAATTGTGCATGAACTTCACTTTCTTATGTATGAAAATATTCTTTTATTTGCAGTTTCGAATCAAGTCACATTAGATGAAGTTTCAGGTTTCTCTTACCAATTTGATATTCTGAAGAAATCTTATTAACATCTAATATCGAAATGTTGTTGACTTAATGACGTAAAAGTGACGTGATTAATATTCTCAACGAAAGTAATTAAATTCGCAACCGCTTTGAATTTTGCTATTAAAATATGTTTACGTGATCGAGTGGTATATCTTATTTACATGTTACACTGAGAATCGTTACTTGACTTTATAGAGAAAAGCAATCTATTGCTTGTTCGAGTGCGTACAATTTTTCGCTGTTCTGGCAAAAGTCTTGACAGTAGACTTCTACTGTCATGTTTTTGTACGTTCAGCAGTGGCACATTGTACTAGAATGGTTTTTCACGGTTATTTTGTTCACCAGAGCCCTTCATTTTCATGGTGGCTCAATAACATATAAGCCACTGAGTAACATACCACCATCAAATACTGGAGATCAAGTGTCTATAATGATAACGCAAACCTACTCTTGGACTTGGCCAACTATTTATTGTAATAATACTTACATAATGAACCAGACAATGTTAACTCTACCTTCACCTGGTGGCGGTAATGATCTCTTATCTTGCGTAGCAAACTGTAGTACTTCAGGTGGTTATGTGTCTGTTCCAATAACACCTTTTTGTACCGATTACAGTATTCCTTTACAACTGACTATTGGACAACGTTCCGATATTGTTAATATTTCTGCAGGATCACATTTCACCGTTGCCTTTCGCGATCATGCTTGGCAACCTTTAGCATTATATTCCAGTAACTCAGGTATGGACTGGAGTATTGCTTGCTCAATCGATCTAAGTATAAGACCAGATGGTAAACTGAATACCCCACCAGTTGCCACAATGATATCACCTATAAATATTCCTGCTGGTATAACACAGTATATACCAATACCAATATTAGATGCGGACAATGATTATCTAAAATGTCGATATTCTACTAAGACACCTGTTGACGAATGTGGTGATGTCTGCCAACCTTCATCATTACCTAATGGGACAACAATTTTTCCAAATTGTACATTGGCTATTACTGGTGTAAAAAGTAACGATTGGTATGCTGTTGCTATTCAGGTAGATGATTTTGAATTGAAAAGAAACGTCAGAGAATAATTCCTTCATCTTCAGGTTGAAGATTTTTGGAATAGTACAACAACAACCGCATTTTCGTCTGTTCCCATTCAATTTCTCATCCACGTTTACACTTCACCATCGTGTACAGTTCGTCCACCATTAATCGGTGCTGTTCTGTCGAATGCATGCATTGGTATTCAAGTTGGTCAACCATTCACAATGGAATTAGTTGCGGAAAATAATTGTGGAACAAATACAAGTATAACTGATATTGGTACCTCGTCGTTTCCAATAGTTTTCAAAGGTGCTCTTATAAAAAATACATCATCAGTATGGTCAGTATCACTGACATGGACACCAACATCAAGCGAAGTCGGAGCACAAGTCTTGTGTGCTATTGCCATTGATAGGTAGTAAAATTATTGAGTTTAAAAAGAAGGTTCTAAACTTGTTGCATTTTGATTCGCGAAACATAATTCGTTCTTTTTAATTAGTAACAAAGTTCAATCAGAACAATACTGTGTTACATTCTTTGTTGGTACCAGTAGTGTAGGACTGTGTCCGGGTGAAACAACAACAACAACGACTGCTAAGTAACATTTTCATCATTTAAGATTTTTAATTATACATTGTTATGTTTCTATATCTTTCAGCTCAACTGATGCGGTGATAACTGCACGTAAGTAAACTGGTGTTTCAATTAACACAAAAAAATTAATGTTCCATTCCTTCGACCAGTAGCATCAGAATCAAATAGTACTAACCTTGGTCTGATAATTGGGTTATCAGTTGCCCTCCCATTAGCTCTTCTTTGTTGTTGGTGTTGCTTGTTGCGATACCTTTCATGGTAAGTTGAACATGTTAGAGTAATAAACTATCGAATAATAACTCTATTTTAACTTTTTAGTTTCAAACGTCGCCGTAAGGAACGAAAGGATGACAAACAATGCAAAAAATATTTAACCCCTAAACTAACTCGTACGGACACCTTAAAATCATCTTCGTCAATCGCACGAACATTAACGACACTCCGAGATAGCAGTGATTTTGTAGAGAAAATTGGAAAACCATTCATGGACCATGACAACGTAAAGAGTTCATCTGAAAATGATGTTAGTGCTCGTAGTTCGAAAGACACGTTAGAAAGTAGCACAGTAGGAACAGGCATCAGTGTTATCAAAGTGAAACGAGTTGATAGACCTACAGTGGGAGAGAATGCAAAAGTAGAAAATAGTAATACTGATTTATCTCAAATAGATATTTTACCTCCTTTGATTTTCGAAGAAAAAGAACGTAGTACAATTAGATCACGGACTGTCGGAAGTGTTAGTGTACTTAAATTGAAACGGTCATCCACAAATTTACCTATGCCTTGTTTCCAAACAACAATGAAAAAATCAGCAAATATTAGCAAACGCAAAAATGAGCAATGTGCTGATAATGCAAATAGAACAAAACTAACAGTTACGAAAATAAAACGTTTATCGGCGTCAGACCCCGTACTGGATACGAGTGATAGAACTGTAAAACGTGAAAGCAGAAACACGGTAATTCACGTACCACGGTTTGAAAGAGGTTTAGAAAAAATGGTTAAAGCTAAAGAGGAGTTAGTAGCAGAGCAACCAATACGCTCTCGAAGTATCAGTGTCTCAGGTGTCACTGTCACAAAAGTAAGTCATCCTTATCCATCTTCGTCCGCTACAAATACGATTAAACAATAGAAAAAATTGTGTTTTTTAATGTTTTACTTTTATCGTATTGTTCTTATTTTTACTCTCAAGTTATTTGAAATCAAAAACAGATTTACACTATATTTCTCTCTCTCGTAACAGATGCGCCAGGCTGATTATTGTTTCACTATTATATACGTGCATGGAGAGACGCATACTTTTCTTGCCACTGGTCTTCGTTCTATACTGCTTTAGACAATTTGTCTTTATATACGACTTCAGGACAAAAACATTCAATGCCATCCAAAGACGCTTCCTCTTTTCATAATTGCAACTGGAACTATAAAATTATCAAATAAAACAAGAAAATATTGTAAGATGCCAAATATTGCAAACTTTGAGTCAGATTTTTTTTCGCAACGTATTATATAACATTGGACAGCCCGAGTTGAACTGATTACAAAAATGTGTTTGTTAACTTTTCAAAAAAATCCAAAAATACTTAAAAGTCGAAAAACTCTTCGAGTTAGAAAAAGTTCGAACCTTTCTGTTTATAATTCCAAAACTATTTTTTTCTTATTCAGCGTCGAAAACTGAATGGACATATGATATTTGATCCGTTATGAAATTAAAAGCTTGTCCACCATAGACGTCGCTGTCTGACGGTGTTAAACACGAGCATAAATTTGATAAACCTATCTAGTTTTTTGTGAGTCATTGAAACATTCATTTATGCTTCATTAGATTGCCTGAAAGATCAGGTTTAAAAGTAATCTTCGCTTCTTTCTAAATTTTGTTTCGTCGCTAAGAAAACTCATTTTTTCCTAAATCAGAGGCGAAAAAGTGAAAATTCTGTCCGAAATTCTTAATTTTCTCCAACACAGCTCAACGTCTATGTAATAAAAATATTATATTCGAAATTAGGATCAAAAAATAAGTCGTCTAATCTCTATTTCAAAATTTTTGGTTAATTTTCATTTTTGGTGATTTTTGATTTTTTTTCAACGTGAAAATTCGGAAAAAAATTAAAGTATTCGGATAGAATAGAGATACACATCAGTTGATTCAGCTTCTGATGGTGATTCCGAATATGATATTTTTATTACATAGACGTTGAGCTGTGTTGAAGAAAATTGGGAATTTTGGGCAGAATTCCGACTTTTCCGTCCCTAATTTAGAAAAACTGAATTTTCTCAACAACGTTAAATATGGTTTTGAAGGGATTTAATGAGTTTATGTCCATGCATATATTTTTAACGCGTGCAAACGAATTTCACCTAAAAGAGTTACTCTTAACAGATTTAGACTACTCTATAAATTCGGTATTTTGAAAAACCAAAAGGGTATAGCATTTTTCATAGAAAACCCATTCTGATTCTCTATAAGAGAGAGAAAACCAAACCGTTTAGGAAGCAAACTAAAATAGCAAGAAGATATTTCACATTCTAAAATACCCATGAAAGGTATCCTACATAGGTATGCACCGGTTTCGGTTTTAAACCGATTAACAGAAACCGATCATAGCCGAAAATGTTGCACAAGTTCTTGAAAATACGTTTGACACAATATGAAGGAAGCATCTGTTGATCAATCAACAACTGTTCATCCTGAAAGAAAGAAGCACGATGTACAGAATCAGAAATAAGACAAATGAGTGGTATTTCTGACTTTTCATCGTGAAGGAAGAGTTTCTCAAACTTGAGTTTAGCAAATTTAATTTTCTAGATTTTATTTGCTAGGCGCACCTTCACGATGAAAACTGATATTTATTGCTTTTTGTTGTGAAGATCGATTTGTATACAGGTGTGCCCAGTAAATAAAATCTACAAAATTAAATTTGATGTAACTTACTTTTTTTGCTAAACTCAATTTTAGGAAACTCTTCCTTCATGATGAAAAGTCAGAAATACCACTTATTTGGCTTATTTCTGATTTTGTACACTGTGCATCTTTCTTCCAGGCTGAACGGTTGTTGATTGAACAACAGATGATTGCTTCATGTTGTGTCAAACGTATTTTCAAGAACTAGTGCAACATTTTCGGTTATGATCGGTTTCGGTTAACCGAAACCGGTGCATGCCTAATCCTACAGAACCAAATTAGTTTGTGTTAATATTAGGGTACCATAGGATATTTGACTCGTTCTGAAAGGCCAACATGGTTTCTTAGGATATGATGGGGACTTTTGGAAACTGAAAAGCGGTTTTGGTGTTGTAGGTTATCAACTGTTTTATAAAGATAAATGGGAGGGTATTTTGAAGTACCAAAAAGGCTTTTCTTAAGAATAAAAACCAAATTTGTTATTTTCAAGTGTATAATACGTTTGTAAATACTAAATAGAAGAATTATTTCTTTTTCGTTCGTATTTTGCTGAATCGTTTTGGTTTTGTACTATACCAGAGTGATATTTTTATAATTTTTTTTCTGAAACCTTCAATTTTATCGGCATATTTTTCTGAACTAATTGATTTCAGAAATGCTGGATTTATTCGTATGCATTTATTAAATTAAATAAAGTTTTCTATTAAAAAATCGTTAAATTCTAGAAAACACTGGATTTCGAGGTAAATCAGTTCTGCACTGTGAAATGTAAAACGCATTTACTTGAAATATACTGTTTTCTCGAAAAAAACTTGATTTAATTTAATAAATTTCATTTCAAGTAACTTATATGCAATTTTTTTGTCTGTCATATCTACTGATATCTGGACCAGAGACCGAAACGGATCGGGTCAAATCCGATCATCTCGGGTAGGGTTCGGGGGTGAAAAATATTGATTCGGGTCAAAGCAAAAAAAATTTCGGCTTTTATTCGGGTTTTGCCACGATAAAACAAATCAGGAGAGTTTCGCTGGTTATGATTCACTCTTCTATTTTCAAACATATGTCTTTTTTATCGAAAAGAGAAGTACAGTGTTTTTTCCTTTCTGCTATGCCCCTGTGTAATGTAGACACGCAACCATCCCAAACTAGGAATCGCTGAAAGGCACCGAACGGGTTGTTACCGAACATGTTCGGTCACCCAACTGTTCGCACTCGAAGGTGTACGCTGCCGACCAGCGAGCCCTGGCTTGGCATGATTGCATGCCCGGTCTGGACTAAAGACAAATTGAATGAAATTGAAGCTTTTGAAGGAACTAACCAGTGAGAAAATAGACTAAAGTACTGTGTGAGCGAATGTGTCTTCTACTGAATCGCGAAGTTAGGGCTACAAAATGACTAATTTAGTTTTTCTTACTTTCAAAACGTTAACACAAGAAATAATTTTTGAGTTTAGAACGTTTACTTTTTTTTCGACTTTCATCTAATTAGCTTAGTTTTCTTGTCTGAAGTTCTGAAATTATAGTTTAGGT